CCAGGCATAGTAAGGACCCCTGCCATGATCTTTGGGCACCCATAATCAGGAATCTAAGGGTATGCACAGAGCAGGGAGAGATATAGCGGCGGGCCCGGGGATTCTTTACGAGTCGTCGTGAAGCAACACCCAGCAAAAAAACTCCCAAGTTCTGAAGAAGCTCACGCAATCTCTGGCAGCTGTGTCCTCCCACCTCCCGCCGCCGCACCCAAACCGAGTGGAGAGGGGGCGTCCAGGCCCCCAATAAAGCTTATGAGCCACAATCTAAACTCCTTAAAGGGGTTATACAAGGGGTTACATGGGGGACTACTATAGGGCGTACTAAGGGGATACTAGGAGTTAAGTCTATGGCTTCTATTAGGGTTGTCTTTGGGATGGCTAGTAGGTTTCACTGCGTCCATTTCATACTTGGAGTTGGGAGAATCCGGTACTTGACTAGGATGCTGCCACTTCTGTTGGGGATCTTAGTTTAAAGACATACATGCATAAATGATGTCATGTGCAGGCTGTGGAAATTGGCTTAGGAATCTTTGCCTCATCAACGTTAGCGCGGCTATGCCAAAGCAAAGATTGTGAAGGCTCACTGAGAGGGAACGCTCCCAGGATTACGTGCCTTTAAACAAAATTGTGGGCCATCACAACGCTTGTCCTTTGCCCAGGTACGCCTCAAGTTCTCCGACGGAGCACAACGGGTAGCTGCCTTCGCAGAGTTGGCAGAGCTGGCTGCCGAGGTCCGCCATTTGAATTTCAGGACTTGGGAGGCTGAGGGTGCGAGGGCCTCCCTAAGCCCTAAGCCTACTACTTTCAGGAAAATGGGAGTTAACAGGGAGGTGGATATTAGACAGCATGGAACTATAGATATTAGACGTGACTCCTGCTAATTCCTGAGAAACCTGGCGGACAACATCTAACATGTTCCCTCTCCCCGCAGTATCTCCCTTGAATCCTACACCCCAAACCTGTAACGTATGTCTAAAGTTCCTCAAAGCACATACAGCATCAAAAAGCTGCGGTGCGGCACAGAATTGTACAAGAGTGCGATCCTTGGCATTGAAGCAGCCTACTTTGAGGTTTATGGGTACTTCTATGCCAAGTAGAACTGTAGCTTTAAGACAAGTATAGCCATACTGCGGGCCTTAAGGTTGTAAAATTCCCGTGGACCTCCAAATAGGTTTCAGCGCTTGCTATCACTTGCCTGGTGCCTGCTTTCAGCCTGTCAAGGAGCCCATTCCTCAGCAAGTTACTTTCCCCAAAAGTAAGGGTTTAGGGTTTGGTGTTTAGCGTTTAGGCCCCATATAGGCACCTTTCAAAACGACTGCAGTCGACATAGAGCCCCTTCACAGATTCCATGTGGGTTTGGAGAAGGATATGTTATCACAACTCTGTGTAAGGACTCTCCTTCCTTTTAGCTGTAGATGTCTTTATATCACGACACGACTCGTGCAGCTGCAACTTTGCACGGTCCACTTTCCCTATCCTATTTGCCCTTCAGGCCAACAAGCATTCAAAATGGCAGCAAGGGGCTCCACGTATGCCTGCTTGCCTATGAGTGTATGAACATAGACCCCACATACACCTTCATATCGTCACACGGCAAGTAGACCTTCCTTCATTCAAAGCCCAAAGCCCCGGAAAGCGTGGCAAGGTCCCTCCCAGGATGATTTTGGCGCTTGGCTCAGACATGGGCATGCCTTCCCCATTATGTCGAGGATCCTCCTCTGTACGCAGGGTACATAGAGACCCTGTCGTTGGCAAATACCCATGCTACAGCTGGAAGACTTCTCTGAGTCATGTCCTTTGAAGCATATTTGTTTTATTATCGTAGTAAGCTCGAAATACTGCAAACAAAACAACATGTATACTATAGGTCTAGCTGGATTACATCTGTGGGGGATGAGATTCCAGGTTGAGGGTTCTGGGCTCTCAGTCTTGTTTCATGACGTTCCGAAGTGTTCAAGCACCCAACATGCAGTATCTATGTATATTACATTGGCTATTGTACAACCACTATGTTGATCAAATCCTAGGTATGCACCCTAAGGGTCCAAGTACCTAATAATCATATACTTACCCAAAACCTATACTAAGATTACTATTACCCAAATCCCAAGTACCTAATCATTGGGTACTTGGACCCTCTAGGGCAACTATTCGGGAGCTGGACCCTTGGGGTGTTAGAATCGCGCGAGGCTTAAGTTTGCTTTGATGGGAGTTCGGTGCCTAGGTTGCTGTAAGTTTCGGACGTCTTAATCGGCAAGCCGTCGTCCCATACAAACCTGAATCCTAAACCCTAAGCCCTAATAACCCTAAACCCACATGCCTGGTCCCAAGCTTAGAGAGAGTCAGGCATGACGTCATGCGCAAGCTGGAATGACCCGCTGTATTGTTTCCCCCCCGCCCACATTTGAGAATTTTGTTGTTTTAAAAAAGTGTCGTTTTGGAAAACAGCACTTCTACGGATCCATGCCTCTATAGTGTATTCTAGCGGGACCTCACTGTGTGGTAGTATGTAGAGAGCCTGCAGTTGTGCCTAAGGCCGTTTTGGTTCAGGAGTCACGTCCTCTACATGGCCGTGTCAAAAAGAATCATATGCGATGCATCAACAGGCCGTGATGGTCATGCCAGCGCTGCAATAGTTTCATGCTCCTTCACGCGTTGTAGACCCATCAGTACACAAGCACAGATGTGGCTCACAATTCTTCAGCTTACGCTGTGATTGAGCCCTCTTGCGGGAATGCTTCGCATATGGCGGATGTCAGGACAGGAGCTGCTTGCAGTCAGCATGGAGGAGATCTCAGATATCCAGGGTTTGAAAGCTTCTCTGCGCAGCATGCATGGCTTCCCGATGTGCATGCAGCAGTTGCTGTGCAATGGCAACCTGTTGCACAATTCGGGCGAGATAAATGCACCCATTGACTTACAATTGGTCCTTTGTCCCCTTTCCACCGAGGGGCGGCGGCTTCACGCTGAAAAAGAGCTTGTGGAAGCTTGCGCACAAGGCAGCCTGGAGGTCGCGAGGCTGCTCTTGGAAGCTGGTGCCGGCAAGAACGCTGGTGATGGCAAAGGCAACGCAGCCCTGATGCTCGCAACATCGAATGGACACGTGGAGATCGTGCGGCTGCTGTTGGAAGCTGGTGCCAACGAGGGCGAGCGGTCTTCCAGCCGCGAGAGGGAGCACCGGGCAAGCAAAGCAGCCGCCCTCAAGCTCGCAGTTCAGACTCGCCACGTGCAGATCGCACGGCTGATTGTGAACAACCACATGGAGATCGTACGGCTGCTGTTTGAAGCTGGTGCTAGCCAGGACGGGTGGTTTCACAAATGCAACACAGCCCTCAGGGTGGCAGTTGCGAATGGCCACGTGGAAAATGCGCGGCTGCTGTTGGAAGCTGGTGCTAACAAGGACCAGCGGTCTTTCACCGGCGAGACAGTCCTGATGCTAGCAGCTGAGAACGGCCACGTGGAGATCGCACGGTTGCTGTTGGAAGCTGCTGCTAACAAGGACCAGCGGTCTGGCAGCGGCAACACAGCCCTCACGCTCGCAGCCAGGTATGGCCGCGTAGAGATCGCAGGGCTGCTGTTGGAAGCTGGTGCCGACAACAACGCTGAGGACGGCGAAGGCAACACAGCCCTGATGCTCACAGCTAAGAATGGACACGTGGAGATCACGCAGCTGCTGTTGGCAGCTGGTGCTAACAAGGACCAGCGGTCTCGCAACGGCAACACAGCCCTGATGCTCGCTGCTGAGAGAGGGCACGGGGAGATCGTGCGGCTGCTGTTGGCAGCTGATGCCAACAAGGACCTGCGGTCTGGCAAGGGCAACACAGCCCTGATGCTCACAGCTACGAATGGCAACGTGGAGATCACACGGCTGCTGTTAGAAGCTGGCGTTGACAAGGCCATGCATGATCGATACGGCAACACAGCCCTGATGCTCGCAGCTGAAAACGGTCACGTGGAGGTCACACGGCTGCTGTTGGAAGCTGGTGCTGACAAGTACTGGCGGTCTGACCACGGCAACACAGCCCTGCTGCTCGCAGCCGAGAAAGGACGCGTGGAGATCACGCGGCTGCTGTTGGAAGCTGGTGCTGACAAGGACGAGAGGTCCGGCGACGGCATCACAGCCTTGATGCTCGCAGCCGAGAACGGACACGTTGAAACCACGCGGCTGTTATTGGAAGCTGGCGCTGACAGGGACCAGCAGTCTTGCTTCGGCCACACTGCCCTCATATTTGCCAAGAAGTGGGGCCATGGCGAGGTTGCAGCGTTGTTGTCGGGCAAAGGCCCGTAGGATCACATATGCAAACCACGCCGAAAATGGCGTGAAGGACTCTTGTAACCTTAGTTATCTATGTTTTGTTTGATTATTATGCTTACTCTTGAGTGGGTATCTTACTACTAAACTCATCTCTTGGTTTTTGATCACTCATGACAGGGTACTTGCTACTGACCCTTGGGTCGCTGGGTTTACAGACTGGCTTGGTGGCAGGGCTTTTCAAATGTTCGGTCGCACCTCTAACTTGAATCATGGATGCCCATTCGTACTTTCTTTAGGGCCTAGGGCTTGGGCTCATGAGGGCTTTAAACTTTGGATTCAGGGTTTAAGGTACAAGATGGAGGGTTTAATACCTTCCCGTTGAACAAGAATTACAATTTCCTGGGGTATTTTAGATCTAGTCGTGTGTGCCGGCCCGCGTGCCTTCATAAACAAGAGCAACACTCATCGAGAGCGGGGGTAAAAGGGCTAGGTGGCATGTTGGCAGAAGTAGCATGAGTAGTGGGGATGGTGACAGTAGTACTAGACGTCGTCGGTTTGCCTAGAAGCTTGAGAAAGAGAAGCGGACGGACCCCCAAAGATGCTGGAGGTCTGAATACAGCCCAGACAGGTGCCACAGTTTGGCAAGCCTGTACAATGCTGCCACACTGCTCAAATCTTGAGTCATGAGGTCATGCTGCTTCTTGTCCATCAACCTCCAAAGATCATTCATGTTCCCTGTTCTCAGGCATACGCCCCTTTAGTCGAAGGAATCTGCTTGGGCATCAGAGACCAGGCGCTTTCACAAGGGAAGATTGAGCCTCTGGATTCAGCACTGATGGTGTTGGAGGTAAGGTCTTTGGATTCTGGATATGGCGATGGGAGGGCTGCTTCTAGGTGCCACAGATCACTGATAGTCTGTAGTGAGTTGCTGCCCCGCAGTGTGGTCCCAACACATGCGCGGATTGATGTATTATACCCTAAACCCTAGACCCATACCCTAAACCTTAACCCCTATGCCCTATAAGCCCTAGTAGACCCTAAGACATATATATATATATACACATATTCCTTTGCGCTGTCTCCCTATGCAGAGGAGCGAGTACAAGTTATGGCAGCAGCTTGTGGCCTAACCTCGCTTGTGTGAGTGCTTCAGGTCCCTTGGGGCAAATTGGGTCCCTTTAAAGAGGATATCGGGGTTATGTAGGGGTCATACATGGTTCAGGGTTTCCCCAAATTAGGGGTGCCCATTTGGATGTCCCATACTAAGCAGTATACACCAGGAATACCAGGACTGTACAGAGATTCTGAGGACCCTCTGCAAGGATTCAGGAGGAATTGTTAAGAGATTCTCTGACGGGGCCTTGCGTGAATCCTACCTCGCTCTTTAGCGCAAAGAGTGGCAGATACCCTTACAGCCTAAGCCCTCAAGTTAGGAGGTTGCTTGCTTTGATCCTATAGGCCAGTCCGCCAGACCTGTCCTTGGAGGTTCAGGTTACTTATGAGCGATTGAAGGTAGTATGTGACCCAAATATGATGTGACCCAAATATGACCGGCACATACCCAATCAGCACCCTGTTCGAGGACGTGTGCAGCTTGTAACTAGGTTATATGTACAGTGATAAGTGGGTCATAATTGCCGTGAACTTCCAAGTAAGGGCCTACCTGCCCTTAAATAATTCACCTTGAGCGCAAATGGGTATGCATTTTACCTTGCCTAGTTACTTTGTGGCCAAGGTTCTACAGTGCATGTTCGGACCTGGACCTTTGGGGGCCTTGCTATGCTTTTGCAAAGGTGTTGCGTCTTAAGAACCCAGTTTGAATTAGGCTCGGGGAGGAGACAATTGGGAACCCGATCATTGACGCAGCATCCCTGTGATCATCCCTATATGGGCTATAGTCTATACACTCCTTGATAAGGGAGTTATATAGGGGAGTATAGGGCTGCTCGCATTTCGCTTATTAAGGGGGATGCTAGGGGTTTAGACTATAGTTTATATGATTCTATGCGGAAAAATCCTGCCCTGATAGTGGCTGCTGTAGCAATCCAAGCAGTCGCAGTAAGATGATACCTTGCCGAAGCCCGGTTAACCAAAGGAGCCAAGCATGGAATGCTCGTGCGCCAGGCGGCAGCTGCCAGAGCAGCTGAAACACTTTGCGGAAACCTCATTGCAGCGCTTTGGGTGGGGGGGGGGGGAAGGGAAGGGTTACCTTACCAGTGCCCCCCCAAATACGTGCAACAATGGCCGTTTGGATTATGTCTTTTGAGTTATGGGCCATTGTCTCACCTACTTATACATCTCGTGGTCAGATATTCAGAAAAGAGAGAACATGGAAGGAGATAATTTCCTGATATGACATGGGCCAGGAGGGGGCTCTCAGAAAATTTCGGGAAGTCGTAGCGGCCTTAGGGTTTGGGGTTTAGGGTTTCAGGGTTCAGGTTTAGGGTTTAAGGGTTTAGGGGTTTGGGTTCAAGGGTCTAGGGTTTAGCAAAGTGTCGGCTCAAACTCTTTCGAGGAATGTTGTACTTCCAGACGGATTCGTTCACCCCATGGCTATAAATCCTGCAAGACCAGTATCAAGTACTGCCACGATGCTGAAGGTTGGGTAAAAACCGCTGCATGATGTTATAGACCCCCTTAAGTAGATAGAATATGGCTTTGGGTAAATTAAACTAAGATCCCTATATACCTCATATTCTATCCCCAAACCCTAAACCCTAAATAGTAGCTTCCATTTTCTTTTCCATTATCCCTATATAACCCCTATGAAAAGGGAGCTCTTTGAGCTCCTGTTGCTTCCTTCCCACGGTTTGAGTCCCCATAGTTTCAGACGTGGCCATAGATGTAGCTTCTCAATGAATTTTGGAAAAGGCTCCGTCAATTTCTGCGATATGTTCACCAAGTGAAACTACGGATGGAGGTAATCTTGCACCACTTCGGGCACCCTGTCTACCGCTGTTCCTAGGGTACTGGGTGCGTAGGGTGGTGGAGGATTTGTCTTCTTGGGGCCTTTTCGTGGGTTCCATAGGAGCTGTAGTCTAAACTCCTTGGAGGGTTTATATGGTGGATTATATGGGGGACTATTATAGGGGTTATTGAGGGCGCTACTAGGAGTTTAGGCAATGGCTCATATTGTCTTCGAGGACGGTACTTGTGCCGGCCTGGTAATGCCGGCGTAAACAGCCGATATGGAAGACCCCACGACTGCAATAACTTCCTGGTTGTTGGTCGGGAATTAAGGGAATATACCATGCATGGGTTGTATAGGAACTGTATTCCCTCATTCTCTATACTAATTAAGAACCAGTAAGATAAATCCCAATTAATGTCTTCTATCCACTAGCGAACTTCGCCGACACAAGCCCGGTAAAGCCAAACACCGCAGTCCCCCATATGTTTGCATTATCATCTTTGCGTAGCTTAGAAGCACAGATCCCCTGCCTCGTGTTAGTAGACAAGGAAACAATTCGTTATTGGTGGAAATGGTAATTATGGGTACATGCCTACCAACAAGAGGCCATCTTTTCTTGCTGTTCAGGAGCTTCAAATCTCAGATCAAGTCACCTTAACATGGGCGGTTTAAAGTAAATAATGGGGTTTCCTTGTTGTAGCACTCCAATTTAGGTTCCTTAAGGTCCAGCTTTCCGAGGTCTTATCCTGGAACGCCTGAGAGAGCTCTCTTTGCCGCAACTTGGTCACGAGAGTTTCTGGTGCCGAAGGGTACAGTTTCATGGGAGTAGCTCAAGAATTACATGTATCTTCTCCAACTTTGGCATTTCCTATGGAATAATGACTATATGTTCTTAATTAAGCTTCGGGGGCTTATGCGCGGAGGTTCAACATACGCAATACAGTTGCAAGTCCAAGATGTTGCGAACGTCTTTTGCATAGTGCAGGGTCTGGTGCCGAAGGGTACAGTTTCATGGGAGTAGCTCAAGAATTACCTGTATCTTCTCCAACTTTGGCATTTCCTATGGAATAATGACTATATGTTCTTAATTAAGCTTTGGGGGTTTATGCGCGGAGGGTCAACATACGCAATACAGTTGGAAGTCCAAGATGTTGCGAACGTCTTTTGCATAGTACAGGGTGGAGACATGCATGACGATCTGGTGCTTGGGCATGCAAGTGTGCATTCAATAACCGTCCAATCATACAGACGATAGCCCGAAACTCTGTGACCCCAGACCTTAACTTGTCAGATTCTCTTAGACCGCACCGCGTTGAGGAGCCAGTCCTCCGATTAAGAACACAGTGTCTACTTGAGCTTAGCTGCTTGATATCTAGCAAACAGTGTCGCACTGCCGTGCTCCCAGCCCACTACAACACCACTGAACATTACTCGGAGCCATCATGTTGAGGAGCCTTGTGGATGTGACAGTCAACCTTTCAAGACAATTTGATGGGGACCACTATTCTCTCCTCTTTTGCCAGAGTAGGCCCTAAAGTGGAGGTATGGGAACCCCTTTGGACCGTAAGTATAGAATATATATCTATATATTATATAGCTACATGGACCCTTTGGGCTAACCGTTAAAGCCCTAACCCATCTCCATCTCTGACCCGTAAGCTTCTCAGCAGATCAATCATTTTGTGAAAACCATTTTTTCAGGGTTTAGGGGTTTAGGGTTCAGCGTTTATAAGGAGTTTAGGGTTTGGGGGGTTTAGCGTTGAGGGTTTTAAAGGGTTTAGGGATCAGGGTTTACGGTTTAGGGGTTTGGGCTTTCCCCCTTACTTGACCCTAAGTAAGCCTAATGAAGGTGGAACCTTGGGGGTTAGTTTAGGAAAGCTGTTTACTTGGAGGTTGAGGGTAAGCCGTAACTGTACTTATAGCCCACTTAAACGCCCACCAGGTCCCCGAAAATGGTCATAAATGAATTATGAGTTCCAGCTAGTTAGGTTACAACATGTTACAACTACTACCCTGAACCGCATGTTTTCCATATGAACTCTGTATATCCCTATAGACACACACTCTAAACAACCCCTATATAAAACAGCATGATTACTCTGAGCCTCTCAGTAGGAGAATTCACGGTGTTTACACACCTAAAAGGGTACATGTTGCTATATAGTACGCACTTAGGGCCCATAGGGGTTCCCTATAACCATCAGGGCCCAAGTATATACTATATAGCTGCATACACTGAACCCTAAACCCGAAACCCTAAAGCCTAAACCCTAAAGCCTAGAGATAATCAGGGCAACTTCCGGCTTTGGCTCTTTGGGCAGACATCCACATAACCTTAGCGAGGCCTGCCGTCTCAGCGAAGTGTTTACGCGGTTTAGGGTTTAGGGTTTAGGCTTGGGGCCTTAGAGTTTCTGATTGTGGTTTGGTTGAAAGGTTTGATGTTTTGGGCTGAGGTTTGGGGTTTGGGCTTCAGGGTTCGAATGTTGAGGGCTTGGTTCTGAGGATTAGGCTTCAGGAGATTCAGGAAGGGGGTCATGGGCTCTGTTTGAGGAGCAGCTTCTAAAGCTTGCTACATGTCATGCTCGATGATAGTCATATCAGGACAAAACACTGTCTCTTGACCCACATCGAGGCCTTAATCCAGTTCTTTGGCTCCTATGCGACCGTAGAAATAGCGTAGGAATTTTCATCAGTTTGCTGATTTCCGCTTGGCATACGTCGGCATAAGGGAATCTTTCTTCCCTTTGGGTTCTTGGAGAGGCCGCTGAAAAGGCCCTTTCTACTCCCGATAGACTCTTGGAGCCCCACAGAATTGAGAGCATCCCGTTTTGAGAATCATCACTTCATTTTGCGGCCGTTTGGGCACTTGCACGCCATGGATCCAACATAGGGTGTTGGAGAACATGAAGTTTTCCCGGTTTCCGGAAAGTAGTCCTAGAAAGGATCCTAGTATGCTTGCTTGTCTAGAGAGATACGGCACGCTCATTACAGCACTACAGCCTGTACTTTTCAAGGTAGCGTCCCCAACAGCTTCTAATCTTAGTCTCCCTCGCCAGGATACTCCAGCTTTGTGGCATCTGTCGGCCCATCTGATTGCAACAGGCTGTCCTGAGGGAATGGGTCTGAGTCCTCAGTAGGGCTGTGTGGCAGGGTGTAGCAGTCATGTTACTATTGTTTTGAAACATACCCGGATATGGGGTCTGATGTGTCAAAATAGTCGTGCCCAATGACATCATTGCCATCATTCTCGTTGTGGCCGCCATCGCAGCACAATGTCGTATGAATTCAGGGGGCGCTCGTGCTTCCAGAGCTTTCTTTTTGAAAGTGCCATGCAGAGGCCATAGTTCCATCCCCAGAACTATGGCAGCTATGGCAGTTGAAACGTCTGCAGCGTTTCTGCATGATATGTTTGCTGGAGAGGCAACGGACCAAATTTATGTTGAGAGCACGAAGTCTATGTGGGGCTCTCATGAGTTATAAGCAGATGAAGATCAAGCTCCGTTCATGACGTCACATTCGCGCAATAAGAGCTTTTCAAGAACTCTGCCGCCTCAAGCACTGAATACTTGGTATCCAAGAGCTGATATCTTAGGTGGACCCCCCCCCACCCTGTAATAGTGACTATAAGGGATAATGTTGATTATCAGAAGGTGCTCGTATGTTCCTACTATACCACTACTACAGGATGGGGGTGCACCTAACTGTTATCAAAGAGTGGGCAGCTGTGAATGCGAGCCAGGACTAGAGTGCCCCTTCGCGCGCTGTGCAGTATCCTCCGTGCTGAACCTCCTGGACCTTGGAGGACGTTGGGGTTGCCAAAAGCTTACCTTTGGTTAGCTGGGAATGAAGGAATGGATATGCGCATGGAAATTACTATAATGGGTGATATAGGGACTACAAGGATCCATCCTTTAATCCTAGCTAACCACAAGGAAGTAGCCTTCCCGGGCATAGGGGCAGGTTGTGGAGAAGGATCAGTCGGGGGGGCTACAATGCTGACGGCCGCCACTGTGGGCTGCTGTCAACTCAGCGCTATGTTTCTAACAGCTACCGTATGAGGTCTTCGGGTAATCCTTACTCAGAACAAGTACAAAGTCGTAAAGGAGGGCAAGTGTTTTGCAAAACGCTCTGTCTCACAGTCTCACATAGGAAAGGGTTGGATCTTGGTTCAGGGTTGATCTGCCCCTGCCTGTAGGGCTTACACTGGCTTACACCCTCCCCCTTTGTGCATATCTAACAGTACAGTATTCTATGTAGTTGGGATCTTGTTCCTGGACACTTCCGTGCGTACCCCATACAGGGGGTAGGATGGATGAGGTGCATGGTACACGCCTCTGGGTGGGCTGTCCAAGAAGTAGAGCACGATTCTTGTGGGGTCTGGATCCCGGAGGTACGAGACAAGTTTGGCGTGGGGCCCTCCAAACAGTATTGACGTAAAACCTAACCCTACAAACCCTAAGTATCGCTTCGGTGGACCCCCAACCCTGGAATAGTCAAACAATAGGAATATGCAAGGGCCCTCACGATTATCCCGTAGAGTCACTGTTTCTGGGTGGGGGGTCCACCTAAAGTACAGCACAATTTCGGGGATGTGGGTGATAGATCATGGGGCTTGAGGTCTATCGTTGATAGTGATGGCTTCTGGCTTGCGGGCTGGCATGTTACCTTTTTTGTTGTGCGGAAGCTGCAGCACCGCCCTGGCTGCTAGGCTTTGCAAAAAGTCCCACAATATTTCTGTGGCGCGAGCAGATTCTTTACTTCTCCGAGCCTTGTATCTTTTTCTAAGCTACAGCTTTGCAAGAACTGGCTTCCGAGGATCTACCGAATAGTGGACTCAAAGGAGCTAACAGTAGTCAATGCATAGCTTGCTGAAGTTAAGGCGGATGGCATTCGTAGCCCTACATGAGGTTGCAATCGGCTAATTTTGAAGCGCGGAGACCCCTTGCGGAGAAGCTTTGGATGTGCTGCGTAGGCATGGCCTCAAAGATCGAAAGGTATTCTTGGCTAGCAGCTCGAGTATACTACGGACTCTGCAAACATGTTAAACCAAGATCCACGTGAAATTCAGTTTCGATCCATATGAGCTATAGTCCACAGTCCTTAAAGGGGGGATATATAGGGGATTGTATGCGGGACTATCTACAGGGCTTATAAAGGGGGATGCTAGAAGTTTAGACTGTGGCTCATATGAGCTATAGTCTAAACTCCTAGTATCCCCCTTAATAACCCCTATAGTAGTCCCCTATATAATCCCCTACATATATAACCCCCCTTTAAGGAGTTTAGACTATAGCTCATATAGGAACATCTTCAGGATCAGCTGCGGGATGAACTCTTGCAGTGTGTACTGGCCTACTGGCAGCAAGTACCCAGACGCAACCTCAAATAAAGCCTAGTCTAAACTCCTTTAAGGGGGCTATATAGGGGATTATATAGGTGACTACAATAGGGCCTGTTAGGGGGAGATGCTAGGAGTCTAGACGGGGATACTAGTAGTTTAGACCACAGCTCAAATAAGCTCTCAGAATTCCTTGCGTGCAAGCCCACCTTACATAGGCTGTGCAATTGGGTCCCTAGCTTAGGGGAAGTTCTGGCCATGGCAGTAAGTGCTTGAACCATGGAACGCCGGCAGCCCAAAAGAAGGGTGCCTAACCTTATAAGTCAAACCCCAGCGGCTACCACAGGGTTTAGGGTTTAGGGTTTAGGGCGCTAGGGTTGAGGGTTTAGGGAAATCGTGAGCCATAAGCCGCAAAACCCAGCAATCCTGGCCAAAGCATTTTGGGCCCTGGTGACAGGCGATGTGCCAAAAGATGGAAAGCCGGATGAATTGTCGCCACCTCAACATTCTCGGGGCTGGGTGCACCAGAACTGCTATCCCTAACGTTCCAGTTACTAACTTTCTGTTTAGTAGGCCATTGGGCCCAAATGAGCTTCTATTTTAGTACATCGAGACCTGAACGTTTGCTATGTAAGTACTTGGATCCTACGGTTCCAGCCATGTAACAGCCCGTAGTCTCTTAACGTTTCACTTAGAAAAACAACAGCACTCATGTTTCGTATAGATCTACCAGCTGCTGCTCAGACAGGAATGACGGAATGAGTTAGAATAGCAGGTTATATGCGGACTGCTGCAGAGATTTGTTCTTTCATTCCAGATTAACCGCCAGGAAGAGGATGCTCTCTGTACCCCTGCGAGAGTTCATTTTTCTTAGCCGTGCATATGAGCATTTCTCAGATATCGCATTTGCTGCTTCTTGCGTGTGTGAACTTGAAAATACTCGATGTCTTGTTTCTCAGATGCTGGGACCGCCAGGATAATTTGGAGTCTTATAAGCTATGGATGCAAGAATCTCAACAGTCCAATGCATGAGTCAGCCAGGACTTCCCATAGTGAGGCTGTGGATACATAACGCGCAGCAATCATATTGTAAGCGTTGATCCTTGATGGCCATCTTTATGCACACTTAGCCTGGAATTCTCATAGTAATCGCTGCAAAAATGGAAGCTATCAAATTTGTATCCTTGACGCTTATGGTTGTGGCCTTGTATGGTGGCGGCCTTCAAAGCTCCACTCACACGACGGAAACCTGATCAAGAAGAGCCATGGGATTCTTGGTCTAGTGGTCCTGAGATCCCTGTTTGGGCACGGCTGTACTGTGATAGCGTCGTTTTCTCTCGCACTTGAATGCGAACTCATGCATCGAAGGTAGTCCTCTTCAAGAGCCAACCACCTGCACTGCCCATCCAGTCACGAAAGTGCAACCTTTAATCTTGTCAGAAACCTTGCTCCTCAATCCAAAAAATATAAAAGTATTTGAAAAGGCAGTATGCTGTTGTCGGTGCTTCCAACTTTCTAGACTTTTGACTTTTGACATATCTAGGCGAGGCAGTGCGAGGGGTAGCTGAAGGCTGACAAGCACATTACGCGTCGCCCTCTCCACGCGGAGCTTCGCCGAGAAGGACGAATCCTGTTTGCATCTCTTGTCCTTCGGAGTCCTGATGGTTTGTTTTGGGGACTTTGGGTTCGCGCAGCTAGCTATACTCTGTATATAGTACCCTGCAGGCCCGCAGGCAGCGTAGTGAAAAAAGGTGCTGAAGTGCCTACACTTGAAGGCGCTGGAGTTGGTAATATGACTGCGCCGACTTGAGACAGCTTAAGTCTTAAGTTTCCCAAGAAGGCATCACTCTCGATACCAGCTATGTCTGCAAAGCGCAAGCATGTGGAAAGGGCCTGTCAAAATATGGCCAGAGCTCCACGCGAATTTGTCAAGCAAAGGCGAGAAGCCCAGCTTCAAATAAACTCAGTACTGAAAACCAGGCTTCATAACCAACATAAGCAGCTTGTAGCTTGGTGGCTCCTCCCCGTAGTCATGATACTGGTCATACAACATGCTGGCTTGCGTCTGTGTATCATTTCATGCTAGCATTGCGCAATGTGAGCATTAGACGTGCGAAGGCTAAGGACAGCACGCTTTCCAAGGTCATGCAAATGGTAACACGTATTGCAGATAGTGTTCCTTACTAATCTTCCTCTGAGTGTTGGCAGAAGTGGAGCGCAAACGATAGGAGAATTATGGTTACCCCAGCCATTTCAAGTAGGACTCTTCTACCATCAAGGTAGAGTCCTTATTATGGTTGCAGTCCACATGATCCGCATGTGGGCAGACACCCCGATCTCATGCCCCGAGCAGGGCAAAACACCCTGAAACCTGAACCCCTAAACTCTAAACCCCAAACCCTGAACCCTAAACCCCCTTAACCCAAACCCCCCAAACCCCAAACTCTTTATAAACCTTAAACCCGCCCTTGAGAAGTGATTGCTGGTTTCGGGTTTGGGGCTTTGTCTGGCGATAGTTATGCCAATTTTTTTCAAAGACGGGTGCCCTACCGCCCATCAGGACTTTGTGGGAGTTGGTTTGTAAAACCTTTCCCTTAACCCTAAGGCTCCATGCATGTAGGTACTATTTATAGGTTTTAGGGCCATATGCAGGTATTATTTATAGACTTAGAGCCCCAGCGTAACGGTCCAAGTACTCAATAGTCATATACTTCCTCAAAAACCTGTACTACAAGTACTATTACCCAATCCCTGAAACCCTGAACCCTAAACCCTGATCATCAAGTGGAGAAAAGGTCCGGAAAAAAAAATGAGCCCTATACCCTAAACCCGAAACCCTGAGTACCCAATGATTGGGTACATGGACCCTTAGAGTAGGCCAGAACCGGGCTTACGCAAAATTGACTACCAGGACCTTCCTAGTACCCTTAATTGGGGATATATTATGGTCCCTAATAGTGGGTACTTAGGCACTAATAGCGGGTAAGAGGAGGGTCTAGGTATGGTAAATTATTCATGGAGTCTTGCCTGAATCAGTCATCGAATCAGTGCATCAACTGCTGCTGGTTTTGGGATTCTGAAAGCCTGGCATAGCGCTCAGGTATTCGACCTTCTTTCTGACTGCGGCATCGCAGACAGATACCCCAAGGCAGGGCGAACCGCTCCGATATGTTGACGTCAACATAAAATGATCCCAATTCTGACACATGCCAAAAAGTCCGCCTCTATTTGCGTGACCCCCGCCTTGCAGTTGGACCAGGACTTGCTAAGCTTGGCAACATGCGAGTTGCTCCGAATGATTTCTACAGATCCTATGAGGAGACCTTTTGCAGTTCGCTCTATGCTTTGTTTCAATACGGGTATACATTGAAGTATCTATTTATGTTTGTATTTATGTACGTCTGCATATATCTGCATGCGAAAGCCCATGTCACACTCGACTCAGCTTCATCCCTGTTCGAAAAGACTGCCGCATCTGGAATCTCCCCAGAAGTTCGAACAGTGGACCTCCGTTTCAGTCTGACGTAGTGCAGGGTTCGGGGCCTGAGTTAATGTTTGGGATGGTTTGGGGCCCGTAAGGAAGGACTTTTTTGGAACCACGGCTTGGTTCAGATGAGATTGACACAAACTTCCTTAGGATTTGGGGTAAGGATCATGTCAACATGCCGGACGCCTCTCAGGACCTAGTAGCAAGTGCGCTTAAGGGCGACGCTACCACAAGTCCCGCAGAGAATCCGTCAAATGGAGCATAGCCTCCCCATTTAAGATCCCAGCGTTGAAAGCGAGAAATAGGTCATATGGATCAAAACTGAGGCAGGCAGGAAAGGCCACAGACCCCAGACGCTTCACGCTCTCACTGACACCTAAGCCGAGCAGAACCCTGTGGATCGTAGAAAACCAATAAAAAGAGTAAAGAGTTCGGGATCTCTTGAAGTTCCCCTGTAACCGAAGAGTTCTCTAGAATTGACCACGCTTTCATAGTCTGATGCTTTGCTTGTGCTAGGCTCAGAGGCTTAATATTCAACAACCTGCACGCTTGATCGTGAAAACCTTACCTAGACCTCCCACATGCCAATCATTATAGCATGGACTCTATGTTGCCCTCCCCGGTTAATTGACACCCGCAGGTAAAACCTGAGCCGCTTTAACCTCTTCCCCCTAATAAGGCACCCTCACCTCGTCCCCGACAATGAAATTCACCTCCAAAAGCAAGAGAGACAAAAACAAGAGAGAGAGAGAGAGAGAGAGCGTGAGAGAGATACAGAGTGAGAGAGAGGCAGAGAAAAAGAGAGAGAGAGAGAGAGAGAGAGGCGAGAAGAGAGAGAGAGAGAGAGAGACAGAGTGAGAGAAAGACAGACTGAGAGAGTGAGAGAGAGAGAGAGAGAGATGTACATATATATATATACATACACATGTAAACGCATTACCTTTTCCCTGGACCTTAAACCCTAAACCCTTAAATGTGGTGTATTGTTAGGATGGGGCGGAGGGGTCATTATTCGGTGATCATCCTAGAACACTTCGTCTATAAAAGCCCTATATGATAACCTAGACCCCGTATCTTGAACATGCATAGACTTCCCTCAACCTTTGCTGTAACACTACTATTTCAGTAGTTCCAAAATCCCAAGTACCCAAAGACTGGTCCTTGGACCTTTAGTTCTCAGGGCGGCCATCCCTAAACCCTACATCCTTCCTTAACCTCTCAACCATTCCATAAACCCTTAAGCATAAACTTCAAAAGCTAAACCCCAGGCATAAATCCTATATCCTGATCCCAAAAGCCTAAATCTTAGACCCCAAGTCCCCAACCCCAAACCCTAAAACCCCTAAACTCCAAACCCTACACCCTAAACCCCTAAACCCTAAAACCTAAACAATCCTTATCTCCTAAACCCTTTATTCTTCGGGCGGGGAGCCGACTTCTCGCAGAGGTGGGGCTTGCCTTGGAGGTCATCGAGGACGCTCCGAGGCTTGGCTGTGGGCTTTAGGTTGTTTAGAGGTTGAGTGGTTTAGGGTTTGGGGGTTTAGGGTTTAGGGAAGGGTTTAGGGTTTAGAGGTTTACGATTTAGGGTTTAGGGTACCTATATATATATATATATGTGTATGTATTTCATCTGTTTGTTGTTTTACTTGTATTGTTAAAGTGGTTTTGGTGTTCATAAGGTTTGTAGGGTCAAGAGAGCTTATAGAGTCGGTAGGGTCAAGAGTTTACAGTTTTGTTGGGTTGATAAGGTGTAGGTTGTGTCATTCCCTTTTACAGGCTCCCTGGTAAAGCAACTGTCCTTAAAGGGGCTTTATCAAGGGCATTACAATTCCTATTACAAATTGTGGTAATAGTTACTGTAAGGGGGAATGAGCTGAGGTGCAGGGTTTAGGGTTTATGCAGCTTCGGGCTTCAAAGTTATGATAATCATATGAGGATTCGAGTGGACAATGAAATTCAATCTGGGGTTCTTAAAGTTATTTACAGGAGGGATATAGGGTCTCTATAGGGTTTACCTCTAGTCCTTTCGTACCACTAAGCGTGGGTTCGGGAAGACTTAAGGTTTGCAGCATTCAGGACTTCATAAGTCCAGCGTCTCGAAGTTCTCCCAGTCCCAGCTCTCAAGCTTCAGATCCTCAACCTTTTGGCCTCTGAGTTTTAGCTTTTTGGGTCTCAGTATGGAATAAGGGAATACGATCCCTGCATAATCCCAATATCATCTATTCCCTTATTCCCTACAAAGAACCAGTAAGTTTACCTAGCAGGGAAAGCCCAAGCTATGAGCCAATGATTTTTTCAGCTCCTTTAAAGAAGCATCTTAGTTACCACTCGTGCTGCGCAGTATACTGACTGTACCTAACCCTAAACCCTAAACTTTAGCTTAGCCGGGGAACTTATGTGTAGCTCCAAGTTCCACAGCTGAGTTTCGGGCTACCTTGCCCCAAAAGTAGGTAGAATTATTGCACAGGCCCCTTACAACTCCCAAATCGCCCATTATTCTACATACTCCTAAGCCCTACACCCTATTGGGGTTTAGGTAACTGCTTCTGGGAGATCCTGCTCCTGACGCAGGTCATACGAGCGTCACCGACAGACGCAGAGCGCGGCTGCTTCATCTGCCTTCATCAGTTTTATGGTTTAGGGTTTCAGGTTTAAGGTTTTGGTTTTAGGGTTTATAGGGTTTATAGGGTTTAGGGTTTAGGCTTTTAGGGTTTTAGGCTTTAGAGCTTTAGGCGTTTGAGGGTTTAGGGCTTAGGGGTCTCAAGTTCAGGGGTTATGGCTTTAGGGTTGTTTTCTTTTGGTGCGTTCATGTGACCAGCCGGATTGCTGCTGTAGCTTAACATCCGGTGGCTAAACGGTACGACTCCCAGTCACAATTTCGCTTGTATCCTATGACGACTAACCAGAGCTCTCTGGGGCTATATGAATCCACCCAACCACCGGAAGTTTTGGAGATGCAAAAGCCCCCTCACCCCCAAAAAAAGCTGATGTGTATCACTTTCCTGGTGAGTGGCCAGGTGATAACCGAATACGGGGATGTGGGGCGCGAAGCTGCAGAATCCGAATGGTGCTTTCATTTTAAACCCGTAGGCTTCGAAACTTCTGACCCTCAGGGTAACATAGGCCCTACACCTCTCAAGCCCTATAGCCCTGTGCCCAAACCATCCCAAACCCTAAGCATGAATGGCCCAGGTTTTCACACGAGTTGCGCGGGATTTCGCTGCTGCACAGGGTCCAAGCGCTCTCCGCTGCGCAGTGGTGCCCGGGAGGGGGTTTTACTTGGAGGTTCCAAGTGATTAGAACCCAGGTTCGAAGTCCTTTAAGTTCCCTGAGATGGTTTGAAGTGGGTCTTAAGTACCACATATAACTGCCTTGAACTTCGAAGTAGATATTAGGGCTTACGGGTGTGTGTGTGGGGGGGGAGTTCCGCGTGGGAGGCAGTTGGGGAACCGAGGGACATGTGATGCATGGGGACTGCATGGGGATGACAGGGAACTTGCTAAATTGTAGTGGGAACTTCCCACAGCGATGTTGGGGACGAGGGTTTCATTCAGCACATCAACCCTAACCCTTTCTGTGTGATACTGAAACTGCCAGCTGTACTATACGCTATGCTTCAATTGACAAGGTCGGAAACTGTCCTACAGCAAGCAGGGAATCTGGATCCATTTCATGTTCGGGCTCTGCACTTCGCTTTGGAATCTCTTTGTGGCACAGATTGCGTCCAAGTGTGCATCGGTTTAGATGCTTTGTGCTTGAATGATCTCGAGCTCGAAGCCCCTAAGCTGCAAGCCATACCCTAAGGGTCGGTCCAAACTATATAGGTGCTCGTAATTTTCACATGCTCCCCCCAAAAAAACCTTTTGAATAATTATCCACAGTATAGTAAAACAATTCTAGAGTATATCAGTTTTGTATGATATGGGCCTATAGCGCTAGGCGCTAAACTCTGATTTTAATACTGGCATCTAACGTCTGTGGTAGCCTGAACAAGTTATGAGAGGGTCTATGGAGGGAAAGCCCAGCTTATACTACTTAGACTGTAACCTGGTAATGTCCTCTAGTCTCTTATAACTCTGTAGATGGCACTAATGCGTCGTAATATACTCACCTGTGACAGGACTGTTCTTCGCAGGACCCCTGTGAAAACTTGTCAAACATCAGCCCGGATATAGGATAGTGATCAAATGTATCCTAGCCCTAAACCACAACAAAAAAAAGAAAAAAAACAGAAGACCTGGACCCTGAGATTTAGGGTTTAGGCCTGTGAGAGCTTCTAGATTCCAGAAGTTGGGGAACTATGGAAGCACCGCTGAGGATGCAAACGGGTACACACACACATATATAGAGGTATGTACCTGTACATGTATATGCAGCAGAAAAAGTCACCAGGCGCCGCTGATGGCCCCGCTGCCAAGCGACAGCAAAGGCAGGACAAGATAACTCATGTGTAGCAGCATACCCTTGCTTGGCTTCTACCTAGCTGGTTCATATTCTGGATTATACCAATCCCTTCCCCTTCAATATGGAACACCCACCCCACCCCCTGATTCTTGTCTCAGTTTGCCCGGCGAGACCTAATACATATTGGGCTACACGTTGGATATCAGGTGACAAGGTGTGTTGCGTGGTGAACATGGCCCAGAATCTCGAACGAGCAACCAAATACTAAGGTTCTCATGCGTAGTCTAACCACCAAGATTAACCCTCTAAACCCTAAACCCTAAACCCTAATTGGAAAAAGCAAATACCCAAATGCACCACAAGGACTGCAGTGTATTGGGATCTCATTTCAATTATTCAGGTGCCTGTCCCTAAAACCTAAACCTTAATACCCGAAGCTTCAGCTTTCAGTGTGCAGGGTATAGCATGTGGGGATTTCCTGAACCCAGAATGATGTGAAACACCATCCCCCCCTCCCCCCGCCCCCTGCTACAGAGCACCTGAACGCCAAAAGTCTGCGAAATAACAGCAATGCTGGCTCTGTTTTTGAGCGTTTGGGCTGTGCTTTACCACTGATGGCCGGGTCAACCCGAATCTGAAGGAGTTGTTGCTTCAAAGCAGTGATGATTGTCTGGTGATTTTGAAGAAATTCACCAACGAGAACCCCTCAGCCAGGCGGGGCAAGGTCGCCAGGAACTTTGATTGGGTGGCGGTGACGACGCTTCTCCAGCAGTGCAAGCGCAGAGATGTGATGAGAGATGCGGAGCCGAAGTTGGAGGAAGATTATGTCAACCGTTACACCTCAACGGAAGCACCTTCTTGGCATCCAACAAGCTTTGTAGCTCAACCTATGCATTTGCCCTTGCTGCTGGTTGCGACTCGCAAGTGGTAAATGGAGTTACAAGTAAGATACCCTGTTTGCAACTGAGAGGAATGCACGGAAAGCTATGGCGACCATGAACCCTTCAACCTTTCACGACTCTTGAGGTACCCCTGTAACCAACCCAGGCAAGCATCGACATAATCCTGTCCACATTTCTTGGGTAGTGAGCCTTAGATGTTGAAAACCACGTACGAAAGCAAAAAGCATCTGGATTATCTGTAGGACTTTCTCAGGCAGCAAACGCCTTGAACCCTGCACTTCTTGGTCTTGGCCATGTCTCCCTTTATGTCACCCGAGGGGACAGCGTGACATACATTATGGCAGTGAACCTTATTGGGTTAATCGATGTATCAGAAGATGGTAAACACTTGTGTTTGCTTGCAATGGTGATTTCATTCCAGTTCCGCAACAGAAACCCAGCTTGCCTCCAACATCCTTCTCTTGGCCATGCCGTTTTACAGCTCCAGTCGCCAGTCCACCAACAGAAGCACCTGTACACCATCTGCTTATCTTATCAGGCATTCTATGTTCAAGTATTGGGCCGGTTCCCTCAGAGATTATTAGGGTAGCCAAGGCTAATTGACGGGGAACCTCGAGCCTAGAAGGGGTAGTAGGGTGACCCTGTCCGCTAGTATCGCTGCCATTGTCCCCTTGTGGTTACCATTAGTCTAACCCAGCTCATGCCCAAATTTTAAACTCCGAGTGCTCGCGTGATCCTAAAACCTAAGATATTAAATCCTATATCCCGAAACCCTGAATCCCAAACTTTACATGCCTTAAATCCCAAGCCCTAACTTTCTGCCAGGTCCCCTGGACCTGCCGGGCTATGTGCCGCAACTGCTGGGAGCTCTGGCGCCTGCAATTTGGATGCCCAAAGAAGGCCTTGGTCTTGGGTGGGGTTGGGGGTTTGGAGGAACCCCCACCCTGGGATATATGGGGAAAATGGAAAAGAAAATGGAAGCTACTATTTAGGGTTTAAGGTTTGGGGCTAAGTTTCGGGTCTAGGGTGGTTTAGGTTTGGGTCTTTGCCTTGCAGCTTGGGATATGTCACAGGTTTGACTTTGCAGGTAACCTTTGAATTGGCATGTGCCAGGAACAGCAGCATACTAAGTTGTTACTGGGGTTGTTTGAGAATGGACTATATGCTGAGACCCATTCAGCAAGCTAACAAGGAACCCCAAAAGGTGCCTACACAGACCACTGCAAAGGATTGCATGGGATGACATGTGCTTGTGGAGCATGGCGGTAGAAGTCTGAGCTTGCATGAGCTTGCTGAACAGCAAAACAAGGAGGTAAAATTATTGGGTCCAACAACCCCATCTTCGATGTCACGCCTTCTCACATTTGTGGGTGTCTTCTTTGACGGTCACTTCGAGAATTTAATGGGGATGTTCACCTTCAGTAGCCATATGACACGCTGAGGCGCGTGGACCTCAGCACTAGAATTGTTTCGGGTTCACAGGGGGAAGCACTCTTTGGCAACTAGCACATCCAAGAAATGTTTAGAAGGCGCATGGAATTAGCAAGGCCGCATCGTGCCAGTACTTAGCAAGGCCGCATCGTGCCAGTACATGATACATGTGCTCTGCTGACGTTGACAGGCCCCGGGGAAGCGACGCGCGGGCCTGTGGTACGCTTTCCCGACAAGGACGGCATGTTTGGACATTCCTTAACCCCCCAAAACGGGCAGAATAATGGCCTTTGCGGCTCTTTCTCTGGGTCCCGAAGGTCGCCCTAGGGGTCTGCCCCGGGCTGTCAAGATTTGACTTCTGGGATACTGCTGCAGCCCCACTGCGAACTTGCCACCCACAAATTGATATATGAGGGTTGATCCAGAGGTCCTCTGAACAAGCACTTAGGATTCCTATAGCTCTATGAGGAAAAATTCGGATAAGTTATGATCCATGAAGGCCATATTTTGGGATCAAGTCCTACACGCGTCCTAAATGATGGGAACTCTGATCCTAACACTGGCCCCGCAAATCATGCAACTGAACAGCGTCCATCTGAGGGTGAGGGTACTCTCAAGCAATCTTGGGTCCTCAAAAACAGGCCATGATTACAACCTCAAAGGATGCAGAGCCTAATCCCAAAACTAATCTCTCCACTCAGCTCCCTCCTTCCCTTGGATCACTGTACGTCCTAATTCGCAAACCCTGAACTTGATCGTCCAGAAAGCTCGAAACCCTTAACCTTGGACCTTTTCCTATCAGGTTTTCATGGCTTTATATGGTAAGAGATACATTTCACTGAAACGGGTTCTTATTTACGTACTTTAGTGCCCAAGCCCATGCTGTCTGGCCACTTGGATCCTGCACCCTGGAACCTCAAAGCCTGCACCCAAAATCTTAACCCTAAACCTCAAACGCTAGACCCCTAACCCCGAACCCTATGACAGGAGCAGCTGCAGCTTCTTGAGCATGTTCACGACTTGCTACGGCTGCTGCCGACTGCTGCAAGCACCTAATTTGCACTTTTGCAGCTTCCCAAGGATCAGGGATGGTTCGGAATCAGGGTGGAGGGTGTGGGGACTGAGGTGCATACAGCTGCCGGAGTCGGGTTTTGAATTGAGAGGTTGAAGTGAAAAGGTATTGAGGACTCCCTTTCCAGTGGCATTAGAAGCACCTCAGACGTGAGCAGTTTGCAGCGAAACATGAGAGTTGGTTGCACGGCTAATTTATCCTGAGCCACTTTGCCCAAAGCCTATAAGCCCCTATATAATCCCAGTCCATGCCATCTTCCATGCTCTTCTCCATTTGATTTTCCATATTGTCCCTGTACAAACACTATATAAACACAAGACAGTTAAGATATAAGCCCCTCTCTCCTTCCCTCCTTCTCTCTCTCTCTCTCTCTCTCTCTGTCTCTCTCTCTCTCCCTCTATCTATCTCTCTCGCTCGCCCGCTTTGGTACACCTCTTCAAA